TCAAGAGGGACAGGGGACTACTGGAGAGAGTCCAGCGTAGGGCAACAAAGATGATTGAGGGATTGGAGCACCTCCCTTATGAGGAAAGGCTCAAAGAGCTGGGGCTCTTTAGCCTGGAGAAGAGAAGGCTGAGGGGAGACCTCATCTATGTTTACAAGTATCTAAAGGGTGGGTTGAAGGATAATGGAGCCAGACTCTTTTCAGTGGTTTCCAGTGACAGGATGAGGGGCAACAGGCACAAGCTGGAACATGGGAAGTTCCACTCAAATATGAGGAAAAACTTCTTTCTGGTGAGGGTGACAGAGCCCTGGAACAGGCTGCCCAGGGAGGTGGTGGAGTCCCCTTCTCTGGAGATTTTCAAGACCCGCCTGGATGCAGCCCTGAGTGATGTGCTCTGGGCAACCCTGCTTTAGCAGGGGAGTTGGACTGGATGATCTCTAGAGGTCCTTTCCTACTCTGACAATTCCATGATTCTCCCTCCCCAATAAAGCACCATCTGCTTAAGACAAAGGGACTTGCCAGGTCCCACTGCACGAGCAGGGACCCTTCACGTTGTTGAGAGATATTAGTTAACTTACTTATTTAAGTTTTAAATAGAATAAATTGTTTAGGGTTATGATGTGGTGTGATTTATGCTCTTTGCTTAGCATGAGGAGCTAGATTTGCCGAAGCCTTTAGGCAGCAACGGAGTTGATTTTCTTAGTAATTTTCCTAGTGCTGTGTTTTGCCTTTTAGTATACACAATCACAACCACAGCTGCCCAGGGATTTTGTTGTTCAAGGTCCCTCCCTTTTCAGGGACCTTGCTGCTGCATCTTTCAACTAAGTTACTTATTTTCATAAAATCTGAGGTCTGAGACTCTGCTGCAAGACATCTTGGGTCGAGCCTGCTGGAGTTTGGAAGCCACCGAATGCTCCAAGACACAGGAAGCCAAAGTGAAGAGGTCTTCAAGTGGTCTGCAACCAGGAGACGACAGATGCAAATTCTCATGGGCTGTTGCTCAGCTGCAGGGTGGGCAAAAAAATCTGCTGGCCTGCTTTCCTCTTGTGCTAGCCACATGACACAACCCTAAAACAGATCTTGCTGAAAGCCCCATATTATTCAAGGGAAACAGGTTTATTCTAGAGAGCTAGCCTTGAAGAACATCTCAGAGGTCTCAGACTCTAAGTAACAACCCCTAAAAACATTTCTAAGGTTTTGTCCTCTGTGTTATTCTTCCCTATTACCCAACATGTTGCAAAAGCACCTGGATTTGCACATGAAGCACCTGGATTTGCACATGCTCCTTTACTCTGGAGCATTAGTCACAGACAAATTTAACACCAAGTTCACTACAGCTCTCTCCCTCTTTCTGTTCTTTCTCCTTCCCATGTGGCTCTGTCCTAGGGGAAAATGTCTCTCATAAAGGTCTTTGGGATGAACCAGTTGTCCCAAGAGGGAAAAGTAGAAGCCAGTGAAACTGGACAGAGAGGAGACAAGTGACAGGAGTAACATGCCCTGCCTTGCTCAGATTTTGGGGGGCTGCCCAGCTGAGGAAGCAGAGTGTCTGAATTCCCCCTCAGTGGGGAGTTCACTGAGATGATCCAGAAAGCTGGACAAATAAAACATTGTTCAAGCTTATAAGCAGAGTCCAGGAAAAAAAAAAAAGACAACTGACATTCTCATGTTTTTTGAGCCACCTTCTTTCTGCTTACGGAGAGGTGAAATGAAGCTGGATACTGGTCTGAATGTCTCATGATTTATTTAACTTTGAGCTGCTGGCTTTTTATATTAGAAAAACATTGTTTTACCTGTCTGGTCGACCTACAGAAAAGGAAAGGCTTGTCAAAATAAAGGCTTCTTGCAAGGTTTTATTTTGGTATTAGTACATATATAATTATATATGTAAGTTCATACATCAAAATGTATGCACATATAAATGTGTGTATATAATTCTATGTATGCACAAGTAGGAAAATCAACTTACTTATATATGCTGGCAGAATCCCCCAAAGGCTTCATAGTTTCTCCATGGTTTGTTGTTTCCACGGGGTTAGAGGGTCACTTTTGAACGTGTTACTGCATTTCACATGTGCATTGTGTGCATCTTCTGCTGCCTCAGCACCTCCCTCAGCACGTTGGTATCACAGAAAGGAAGGAGACATTGCCACCAACAACAAGTTGCTGTTGAACACGTACAAAAGCACTCTTCCAGCCAACCAGGAAGTCTTAAAAGAGGAAAAGCTACTCAGTAAGGGCAGGAAGACTAGCAGAGCTTTAAATTTCATTTGAGCTCCCTGCAACCCTGTGAGCAGATCTAAGTTTAACACAGGCCCAGAGGACGCAAAGCCCGAGTCAGGGAACAGTAACTCACTTCACGTCAGAGCCCAGCGAAGAGATTGCTTTTGACAGCTCCCGTTTCATGCTCCCAGTGAGCTTACTGGCTTCCTGCACCGGCACACGAGCCTGACCTCTCCCATTCACCCACAAGCTGTAAAATGGCCATTAATTCCAGCTGGCACACGGCTTCGGCTGAGGCCCTTCCTTCCCGTCAGCAACAGGGACTCTAGCTGTGAGGGGAGGGATGAGACAGAAACAAGCAGCAATCCACAAACTCCCATGGCTTGCACCCCCCAACTGATCACCAGCATTGAGGCAAAAATACCTAAAGCTGATTAAGATCAAGAAGAGGAAGCGTATTCTCCCCAGGAACACAAACCACCACAGAAGAGTATCACCCCACTCTTCATCTGATGAGAATTTAATAAAGCATTCCAAAAGCTGCATTGGAAAGTATTAGGAATACTACTTTTATTTTCTTTTTTTTTTTCTTTTTTCAGTTTCTTAGTTTACAGGAATAAGCTGGGTAGTTATTTTAACCTAAGCTAAGTGTGAAGACAAGCATCACAAACATCTTCCTCCAAAAAGGTTACACACACTTCTTTCCATACACAAACTGCAGCACAGTTAGAAGAACGTTAACAAGACACTAACCTAAAGCTGCTTTTGAAAAGGAAACGCACTGGACGTAACCTTGCAAAGCCTTAGGATCCACAGGAATGGCTAGTTTGCTTGTAATTGAGCAAGATGGATTTTTATGGGAGACCTGGACACTGATCTGCATACAGGACTTACAACTGAGAACCGAGACAGCCTCAGTAGAAACTGCTACAAAACCAAAAGAAACACTTTCAGCAAGTATTTGCAATATAGTCAACAGCAACTTTCTACATGAAACAGGTAACCAGGATCTTCAACACAAACATGGCAGTGGCTAAACTAGCCTGCAGAGCTTCATTAGACTTTGCTTCCTCACTGGAAGGTTCAAAACCTAAAGACCAGACAAATCAGCAGTGAAAGCAAAATGTGGGGAACTTAGCCCTAAGAATTATCCCTTATTCTCAGCTGTCTGAAATTTGTGCAATGGAGAAGAGGTAATGACCTTTAAAGCAGTCCAACTTCAAATGCTCAGGACAAAGCCAATAGGGTTTGGTTCTGTGGGATTTCTGGGGTTGTGGGATTTTATTATTTTTTTTTGTTAAAAGAACATCCCAGATCAATGGTTTGAGTTACAGAGCAGTTCTACAGCACTAAGGTAGGAATCACAGATGGCCTCTCCAAAGCCAACGTAAAGGTGAAGATGACTTTCCTGGGGGAAGCTCTCATCTGCCCAGATAAGCAGCACTTACTGTTATGGGGCAGTTCTGTCACAGAATTTAGTTTATTTGAAGAGCTAAGAAAACACCTTTATCTAAACTTGTGCATTCGCTCTGAATACCCAAGTAGCAGACCCATGCAGTATAATCTGATAATTGCAAGAAATGAAGTCTTTAATTATCAGACCCAAAACCTGGATCAAGTTTCAAATTACAGCCATTCTGTACAATGCCACCCTCTCTTCCAAGTCTCATTATTTACACAAGCTAAAGAGTATTAAAGCTGGAGTAACTTTGTATAATTGTAAAAAGTTCCCCTATTGCCATACAAAACTTCAGGTTTCCTTAGCCTCAGCAGCCAGAACTGGTGTCACAGCTGCTGGTTCAATCCAAGAACAGCTGGAGTTCAAACTCACCTTAAAATAACATTATCAGAAACTAGGTGTGAGGATTAAAAGAAGCCCTCAAGATGGACAAAACAGCTTTCGGAAGCAACACATGACAGCAGGTGGTTAGAAGCTGACAAAACAGACTGAGAGGAGACGCAGGTAGTCAGCATCAGGAGACAGAAGAGTGGCAACAAATGCAATTCAAGTGGGAAAGACTTCATTTGAAAGCACAGGATAAAAATCAAAATGTTATTTAGTAGCAGGCAGGAAAAGAATAGAAGCACTGAGAAAAGGGGATTTAGGCTTTGTGCTGCCAGGCTGCAAATGTATTGAGCACAAAATACGCTCAGGAACATTTAAGATTCTATAACTAGTTTTCAAGTGATTTTCAAGTGTTTCTGCCATGCCTCCCAGGCTCCAACAACTCTATCATATGCACAATCTCTTATTAAGTTTCATAAACTTAATTCCTGATTCATGAAAATCCTACTAAGTGTTAGAGAAAAGAAAGAAGCTGAGTCAGATGACAGACCAAGCACAGAATGCTTTCTTGGTGGAGTACCTCAAAGCAAGTTATCAACACTACTCCTCGACTTCAACACGTTTTGTGGCAGAGACATCCATCCCTAAAAATCTGAGTTACAATAGATAGAATCACAGAATGATACAGGGCTGGAAGGGACCTCTAGAGATCTAGTCCAACTCCCCTGAGAAGCGTCTTGTTCAGTTGTGAGGTTTTGTACACACATTATTCTCAAAGACTAAGGATAACTCATAATCAAGCACATGTGAATTCATTTCAGCCAAATATAAAATCCAGAACAGATGGTCCAGGTATAAAAAACAAACTCAAAAGAAAGGCACACACATTAACTGCTGGGTCAATTTATTGGAGATAAAATCTATCAAAACTGCCTTAAATACTTAAAACTGCCATGTTACAGTATCATTGAACAAAAGAGAAAAAAACACTGTATTCCAAACAGGTTGTATTCAAAATTTATTTTTAAATAAAAGAAAAAACAAGACAATGATTTTAAATAAACACGGTATATTCTACACATCTGTAGATCAACACAACTTTACATTAGCCATTTTTAACCTTCAGAAGTTCTGTTGCAGCATGTTCTACAACATTTGACAGTGTTGGTTTCCATGTCACAATCAACCACACAATCCCCAAATGAACCTATTTGCTTAAGTGATGCTTTATTCTTCATGACCAAAAATGGCTCTACTAATACAAAAGCACCTGTTAAACAATTATCCCCACCTAATTTTTTTTTTTAATGAAGTCTGTTCAGCCTCTTTTTTTTTGGTTCTGTTCCATTGCCTGCATAGAAATCAGCATAAAGCTAAGTTGCAAGCTAAGCTTCACTTCAGCAGTGCAATGAATGGCATCAAACTTCATGAGACAAATGAAGATAAAAACATTGTCAGCAAAATTCAACTATGTAAAAACAACATTAAAATCAGGATGTTTTCGTGGGTCACAACTAGACTAGCTTTCAGTGTGCAACTTTCCTCAGGAAAAGTGCTTTTTCCCGATTCACATGAAAAGAATGAAGCATGCATCAAAAGCCTTTGTCCATATGTCCATACAGAAATGCCCATTAGAAGAGTTCCATTGTATCATAAGGCAAAAGAGATATTAAGGTGGATGAAGCATTTTGGCCCAGAGTATGGTTTACAACACATACATACACATTACATTTGTGTAGCATATGACAGGTAAGGGATTGGCTCAGTAAGTTAAGTGTCCATTTTTATAAATACATGTCGTTATTGCTAATATGCTACACATTATCATCCAACTTCTAAAGCTGCTTTGTTGGCATTACCCTTGTAATTAGCAGCTCACATTCATGTTGAAAATATGCTATTCCATATAAGAAAAGTAAAGCAGCATAAATACAACTATGAAAACAAAAGGCTTATGCAACATCCCTCTCTAGCTTTGCTGTGTTTTTTAATTAAAAAGTGTTCAAAGAAAACAAGTCCAGTTCACCACAAGTTAGGAAGTCTCACAATGGGGTTGGAAACTAAGCTACGGGGAGCAGAGAGGGGGGAAACACGGCATGCATTATAATCTAGTCCTTTTAGTCATACCACTGGAATACAAAAGTCCAATTTAAAGGCTAGACTAACAGTAGAAGGCAGAAAGCCAAGAGTAGACTTAGTTTGATATTTAAATTAAGATTACAATTTTAATCAGTAACAGCAAACTCACCTAGTCCTTTAATATATTCACAATATCTACTGCAATTGAATACTTAATTATGACTAGTATAGGTATGTATGTTCACTTTAAAAAGATATTAAATACCTGCATCATGAAATTACATTCTTAAGAGATTGTGTAAGAAAATAGCTCATGTGTGAAATGTTTCTGAAATGTATTTCTGCTCCCTTCTACCCCCTACTATGTCACACACACACACACACACACACACACCCCCCCACCCACCACCAAAGCATTCACTCACAGGGGAAAACAAACACCCCTTAAAAAAGGATGGAAATATTGAAGGGGACCAGCTTGGCTAGTTACAGCACAGTGCTTAACAAGGTTCAAGACAGAACCAGATCAGAGTTGGCCAAAAGATGCCCACAATACATGCCTGACCAGTAATTCCTTCCAACACGCTCAAACACAGTCCACTTTTGGTTCATTGCAATGACTGAAGTATTTCATATATACATATAAACACAAGACTCTAGCTTTACTTTGTTTTTGCAAAGCATTTTTACCTTTCCATTCATTTTGTTCTGCAGCAACTACAAGAGGTAGGCATAAAGCATTTAAGAGCTTCTTTCCCAAGGTCCTGTTACTAGCTGAATTTAGTGGGATAAAACAGGAATCAGCTGTACATTTGTGTTTTTACTAGTACAGCCTTGTACAATCCAGCTGGAAAATAGCTATATGAACCCTGGATTTGCTAGGCTAGCACACCATGGAGTAAGAAGCTGTTCATATCCAGGAGGATACTTTTTTTTTTTTAAAGTGTTTACTGCAGAGCATTCCTACAGAATGTAGATGTCAGGACCAATTCTCTCCATTTCTATTTGTACATAGGAGCAAGGTACCGTTTGGCCAAGACTACAGATGTATTTTCACAGATGGAAGTGCCATGCAAAAATAAATTAAAGAACAGATACCAAAACATAGGAGTAGTAAAACTACTGAAGGTAGATTTTCTTAAAAGTATTTATATAAACAATTTATAATACTTTTCTTTCCCCTCTTCTCTTTTGGACATTCACAGTTAAAAGGCTGTGGCTATACATCAAGAATTTCTTCTGCAGTGCCTCCACAACGTAACCTGTAGCGTCCTGTCCTCCAGCTAATAGTGGGGTCCCACAAAGCCGAGAGGAAAATATAAATTGTCATGGATTCTCTGATGAACCAAGCTACCGCATAATCAAGTTTTGAAAAACACAGAGCACCACCCTAAGAAGGCAAAAAACAAGTATTAAACATACTGATTATTCAAAAGGAATTTTAAAGTAATTTAAAACATCTGTGTTACAGATAAATTTATTTTAAAGCTTATTATACAGATTTATGTACTAGCAGCTCTTTTATTTCCATAAGCCAAAAACATTTTCCTGCTCAAGATATGATTACCCATACTAAACATGAGGAGCTTGGCAGAATTACCCAGAAGGTTTGAAAAGAGACTTTTATGCAGACCAAAAAGCAATAAGAAGTGTAACAAATGCACTTTATTCTTTTTGAAGCTTTGCAAAACTGTGTTCAAGCAGACACTGGGGTTTTGCCACACACCCCAAGAACAACAGCATTTAGACACAACACTCCTGCACATTCCCAGAAAAGTGATATTCAAATAAATAAGCCTTTGGCCTATCGCATTGGAAAAGTGGGACTAAGAAAAAAACCTTACAGCCTCTCAATATTTTCTGCTCCTTTAAGAGCTTTCAACTACATGCAGAGCTGGAAATCTAAGGGGCTTCAGAAGAGGAAGAGTAGGCACAAGGCTTTTTACATGGTAAGAAGGGTAATCAGAAAGGTGACTGTTAAACTGACCCTCTGGAGTCCTACACAATCAACACAAGGCTCAGGTTTTTTTTGTTTTGGGGTTTTTATCATTATACTGGAAATAATAATAATAATAATATGTTAAGACTGCCAAAAGTAGTTCTCATCATTCTGAGAAGTACTTGATAAATTTGAACACGCAAGTAATTATGGATCAGATTTGGATGGAATATGGTCATGGCAGAAAGCAATCAAAGTAGTTCCTACACCATCAGCAGAACAAAAGCTGTTCTGATTTGTGACATCCTCACATTTAGTGATGAGAAAACTTTTTTTTAGAAGTTACAGCTGTCCTTAAAGTCCATTATTACCAAAATACAGTGAAAAATGTACTTAAGAGTGCATATACACCTCAATGAATACAATACAAAGTAAAAACTAAGATAAAATAACAAACCATAAAATCCTACAAAGCTGCTGTTCTTGTACAGTTAAAAATACTAAAATTCCTGGATATGCCTACGTAGAGCAGACTGAAAATGAACAGATTAAGGGGACAGATACGCAAACTCTCAGAGCCTAGGCAGAGGCAAGCATAAACAAAATTACAACCAAGCACACTTACTCATTTTTGCACTACTGTAACTGAAGCTTGAAGTCTGAGAAGTAACAGGATTTGACCTGTTCTTTCCTTTGATGTTATAATTAGGCTTAGCTTTTTTTGATTAAATAGATGGGACTAGTAACTTTAATAATGCCAAAGAAATGAAGCTACATACCTGAACACCTTTTAGTTGAATGTAGTCAAATATAAACCACGCCAAGCAGTGACACATGAAAAACACCATTATATCCCATCTGAACACATGATGAGCTGCCCATCCAATAACTAGACTGGCAACAAAGCACTCTGAGATCGGCTCACAAATTATTGTGGCAGGCAACATATTAATTCTCAGTTTGGCCCACCTAGAAAAGACAAACAAATCAGTTCTGACTATGCGTTATTCTTTATGTCCTCCTCCTCCACCTCATCAAATGATGAGCCATCATGGTCTTTTCTGACATTAGTTTCATCTCACTTAATTTACACCTCCAAACAAAATACTGCAAAAGTTCTCCCTTAGCATTCAGAAGGTTTTTTTGAGGTTTTTTTTTAGTATCAGTCATACTTCTGTGGAAAGTCAGTGCCTCTCTCGCAACACTAACACAAGGCTGTCCATGGGAATGTCACCATTCTGGACAATAATGCAAATTAGCTTGGAAAACATATTCCTTATCATTATCAAGTTATCCACATCAGAAGCAGGTGACAGGGGTGGGTGGGAGAGGAAGGAAAGATTAAAATTTTACCTGATCATTCTGGACTGAAACTGAGAAATTGAATATGAACCAGAGTTTTGCATTGCGACTTGTGTGGCCATAGCAAATTTCCAGCCCCTGAAAAATTAATTTGTTATTATAAAAAAGATGCAAATAAAAGATGAAAAAACAATTAGAGAACACACACCCAAGAATTTTATTAGGCTTGAAAAGTTTGTGGCATATCTACCATATTATTACAATGGGTATAAACAAAAAAATTAGTATATTTTATCAAGTCTCTTCATTGAAAAAGAGAAAATACCTCTTGAATAATACTTAAAAGAAGTTCTCAAACTTTTTTCTAGAGGAACTAACAATGATATGGCTTAACTATTTCTCAAAGACTATCACACAGTAATCTTTTAGCATGTCATATTTGCTGTATACATGTAAAGCTGACCCGAACCCCTATACCTATAGCAGATAATATGTGTTTAAAACCGGATTTAAACTGCACTTAAAGCAGTAAGTTTACTTCAGAGTCATCTTACCGGTCAGCTATAGCTTTGGCCATAAAGTAATCTTCAGCAATATATTGTGCAAAAGCTATCAGTCCTCCTGCTTGGTCCAAGACATCCTTCCTCATCAAGCATGACATTCCTGTTACACACTTAAAGCCAGTTAAGTTGGCTGAAATATATGACCTTGGATGTGAAGTTCCAAAATAAACCTGCCAAAACAAGATAAGACTTTTAAAACTCTACACTTATTTTTGCAAGTACTACTCACTGGCAACTTTTCCTCCGAAAATGTTTGAATTACAAAAAGGGAGTGCTAGACATGGTCAATTACGACACTGTATTTGGAAATATCTTTACCACCAATCTAAGAAATCTAGCCTACCACCAAATCTGAGAAACCTAGTAGTAATAATGGCTGTGTTTTTATACATATAAGCAGGGATTAAATCCACATGTTAAACTACTGTATTTCATTTGGTATTTAATTTCTAATTTATTGAGGTTACTAATCACTATGATGAATATATTATTTGGTGATAGCTGACAGACATGCTGTCTCCTTCCTCTTGGAAAGATTAACTGCCTACATGTTCTTAGAAACTTACCATATGGTTGTACAGAAGCAGAAGAATTTTGTTTACTTAATGTACTTTCAAACAGAAATAGCAAAGAAAAAAATTCAGATTGTGAGGCAGTCTTTTTATACGATTCATTAACTTATAACTAGAAGTTACCTATAAAGAGGCAATGGAAATGAATGCTAGCACCTCTCACTACTATCTTTCCTATTGGTGGCCTTCACACTGCTCTTATGAATACTTATTCAAGAAGAGGCATGCTCATCTTGCAGCACATTGGATCTGGAAGCAAAAAGCTCTTCCAGGAATATAGAAGCAGGACTTGCAAGTCTTGCTGCTTTAGCACATAGCAGTACTAATAGCTCCTCGCTCTTCTCTTGTAGGAAGAAATTCAGGCTTTTTGGTCACAAAAACCACACGAGCTGCCCTCTCTCCATGCAATGAGGGAGTACGGCATTTCACTGCACTTTCACACTTCTGCCTTTGACACACACTAGTTATCCTTGGGGCCAAAATGCCTTATCCATGCCAGCTTCGAATAAAAGATAGTTGATTAATTTACATGCCTTGAGACAAGGAACAAACAAGAAAATGCAGTCTCTTCATTCTACAAAAGAGAACACACTGAGAAAGAAAGGAGGGGAGAATAGGACAGAATGAGTGATAAACAGTGGATAGAAATCAACTGTTCACTTTCTCTTCCAAAACCAGTGTTAGGAGACATGAAATAGCACTATAGAAGAACTAGTTGGTGGTTCCTCTAACAGACAGTAGATCTGTGGAACTTGCTGTTAAAGACAGTTATAAATGTTCAAAATCTACAGGGATTCAAAGAAAGAATGGAAAAGTTCATGTAAGAAATCTGTTCTTACTTGAACACCAATAAATGGAGGATTAGTAAATATAGAAGTCTACTTCCTGCTCAGAAAGTCTTTCAGATGAAGATTGCAGAAAGTTGAGACAGTATTACAGGAAAATAGGATATAAGCCTTGCTTGTGTTCTGCTCTCCTCAAGGGTTCAGCTTATAACCCCTGCTGGAAACAAAATACTGTGTGAATTGGACTTTGCTCTCACTTGTCATGGCCATATCTGTATTCCTTTTCAGATAACAAATAGAATTAATGGCCCTTTCTGACTAAGCACTAGAAAGAGTTCTTCAGTTTTAATATTTTTTTAAATAAAATCCATCATTTTCATCCTGCAATCTTGTTTGCATTGTAAACTTAAATGTTGAATCAACATTCAGAACACCACAGTAGAATTTTTGACCATTTAAGTGTTATCCTATATAGTTTGAATCGAGACTGCAGCAGAAAATAAACATTTCTTCACTCAAAAGGTGCAAGAGGCACTATACAACTTTTAGTCAGCAAGGTTCTGCAAAAAAACCAAACCAACAACATTGCACTCACTTGTTCAAGGGTAGCAGCAAAACCCTGTCTGTCTGCAACATAGGGAAGCCCATGGACCAAGCCTACTTTTTCAGTCATTTGATTGGCCATATCTGTCAGTGTGTCTGGCGTTACTAAGTGACAAATGAAAAAAAGACAGTTCATTGAGCAATTCTGTCATTAGCAGACTACTGTATAGAGACACTAATTCTCATTATGTTACCAATATCAAGAGCACATATACTTTGATACACAGTATTGTGGAGAAACAAAGTTTCAGAAAAAATAACACTAGATCTCAACAAATATAATAGAAAGTTTCAACACTGGTTTTTTTTTTAAATGGTATTTTCACCTGTAAATAAAGATAAAACAATTTTATACTTGAAAAATATTTTTTCCAGATTTTTAACTTTCATTTCTACTTGTATTCTCAATCTCCAACAACTGCTTGCCTACAGGGAATAAGAGCAATATAACAATCAGCACTTTACAACACACACCTACCTCTGATTCCACTATCACAAATCCATATGAGATCATATTTGGCAACTTCATAGCCAGGCATTAAGTTGTTGATCTTGGGATTGATGCCAACCTTCTTGCCACCTAAAAAATACAAACACCATCAGATAATGTATGGGGTTGTTTGGTTTTTTTTAGCATTCAGACTCAATATGCAAAATACCTGGATATACTCACTAAAGAACAGTTAAGTGTTTACCCATCAATTCTTAGAGTTAACTTTTATGAAAAATTGAAATTTTATTTGAAATTTTAATTATTCCTTCACTTCTATATTTTAGGTCTTACTACAGTTATGCAGAGAATTACAAAGGAAAAAGTATTCAAATGCTTCCTCAAAATGGCGGGGTAACAAGGTTAATGTTATTAAAAGGACAGTAGAACCATAAAGTTCATTACTATATTCTGTAAGATATATATTCTCTACCTCTTATTTCTTAAGACTACTGATTACGATCATTATATTCTACAATAATTTTAACAGAAAAATTTAAGAGGAGCAGAATAAAGTCAGACATGCTGCTTTGCTTCCAACTGACAGACATGGTCCAGTTTTTTTTAAGTCAGGGGAAAAAAAAAAAAAAAGACATTCTACTACCTGATTGTAATATCCCTTCCCTCCTCTAATTCAAGTGAAGGAAGAGCCCTACAGTCTAAGCTGATGAAGAAGGATTGTTGCAGAAACTGGAGCTCAAATACATCTACAACTGCAAGTCACTTCCCACACATTTAGGTCACTGCAAAGACAGGATTTAAACTGCTGTTTCAGAACTGGAAGGGAAATGTTGTTTGGGTTCCATAAATCATTCCTCCTAGAGTGTTTTTTTTTGGACTGATGCCACAGATTGACACTACAACTTAGTCCTTTACCCCAATCTGAAAATTAAGCTATAGAACCAACATGGGCTGAACATGACAACTATATATTTTAGAATTCTGTATATGGAGTTGAAAACATAAAAACATTTTATGAGTCCCACATTCAAGTTGCACTGCTTACCTATGAACAATCTAGCATCAACATTCGGGTATTTGCCAAGGAGCTTTTTGCATACATCAATAGCTGGATCATCATGATCTTGTACACAGAGCAGCACTTCATACTAGTGAAAAACAAAAAAGGATACAAAAATATATTTACATACAATATCAATATGGTCTAGGGAATAAAGCTTAATAATGTACCAAACAGAAAAAATAAAGAGCATTGTTACAGAATTAAAAATAAAACCAAGGGGATTGTTTTATACCTAAATAGGGTTATTTTTAAATGCAAAGCCAACTACTTGTCAAAAAAGAACCAAGTCTGTATCCCGATACACTCTTCTACCAAGGAATGTTAGTTTTCTTGTTATTGGAAGGATTTCTATTAGGCATGAAACAAGACATCCTGGTATACAAGGTAAATTTGCTATTTCCACTTCCATTTTTGTTCACATAAGAATCTTCAATCCAAGCTTATATTCAATGAAGTTACAGCACACAAAATATTAATGGAATGAAGTTATGATACATTTAACTGCATACCTCTGAACTACACTTTCCTTTACTTTGCAGATACATATGCAGAACAGTTGGAAGACAATCCACACGCTTAATTGTGTAATAAAGCTGAGCTCCGGAATACGTATATGCATATGTAATGTATATGTATTTTCTTCACTAATAGAATAAGGGTTAAAATCAACAAAAGGTAAGGGAAAACTATGGCTGTTCCAGCAGTCAAGCTATGTGCTTGTTACACAAAAGCTACAGTGGGCAAGGAAATGGCATTTTAAGAAACACAATGTTTTGCAACAGCTTAGCAAGCTTTGATGGAGATATCCGTTTCTGCATTAACAGTAAATTCCTTGAATGCTCCTTACTTGATATAACCTTCCTCACTAAGTTAAATAAATACATTCTTTCAAGAAAAAAAAGGTACTGTTAAACACAAAAAGCCTCAACAACTGACTGCATACAGGATATTGTGGAAGCTTAAAATCATTAGCAATGAAATAGGAATTGGTAAGATTTGGTCTAGCACAATAAGCTTTCAGACAAACATCTCCACCTCTCAGAATGCAAAAATCAGGGCCGATTTGCCTAGATTTGGAACAGAATCAACCTCACAGAACCTCACAGAACCTCACGGGGTTGGAAGGGACGTCTAGAGATAATCGAGTCCAACCCCCTCACCGAAGTGGGTCTACCTAGAGCAGGTTACACAGGATCTTGTCCAGGCGGTTTTTGAATGTCTCCAGAGAAGGGGACTCCACCACCTCTCTGAGCAGCCTGTTCCAGTGCTCCACCACTCTCACAGCAAAGAAGTTCCTCCTCATGTTTAGGTGGAACTTCTTATACTCAAGTTTGGGCCCATTCAATTCCTTTCATTTTGCCTACATAGAAAGTGGAATCTAATGGGGAAAAAGACCTGTCTCATTAAGCACAGGTCCTTCCACAACAGAACAATCCTGACAGCATGTACACCATAGAAGTTACCAACTAAAGGAATCAGCTCTTAATTGTTCATCCAATTACATAGGTAAAAAACCAACTATTTTTGCTAGGAATTAAATAACTAATCTTCAATCCACAGTTGCAATGATACTTCTATATCCAGATTCTCCAAGAAATTCAACCAGAAATAATAAAACTTTGACATTCCAATATTTGAAAACAGAAAAATTCGCAGTAAACGGCCTTTGTATGCAATAATAAAGTAAAGAACTACAAAATGTATGACTAAAGAAATACAAAAATGCTTATCTATATAAACACTACAATTTGGTTCATTTGGACTTAACGACTTAACGTGAATAGAAAGATTTATGCCAAAAATCATGAGATGCACAGTAGGTAAGAACTGTTCACTGATAAAACTATTAAATGTAAGTCCTGCAGTTTAGAAGCTGCATAAGTGGCTTCCATGCAAGAAAAGATTATTTCTCACATGGGATATCACAGAAGAGTATCAGAGAATCAGTATCACTGCAGGTTGAACTCAGCTTCACTGGAACAAGATTAAGATTATTCTTTTCTAATAATTGTCCCCGGGCAGCTGAAATTTGAATTCCAGGCAATAGTGTTGTTCTAGTTTGTGGTGTAGTGTCAGTGTCTTAAATGAAGTATTGTTGTAGTTATTGTACAGAGGCGTTTTCAAACAGTTTGGGGATCTTGTTTTTACTGTATAATCTGTGCCCCAGTAAACTGAAGCATTCATGCCTCCATTTTCACTCCCCTTGAGAAAAATATTATTATCACTATTGCTATCGGAAATTCAGACTGGCGTGGAGTGGCAATATTTTAAGCTTTCTACCCATATGAGTTATCAGAAGTAAGGGTCAAGACTACCTCTCATAAAACAAGATCCAGCATAACTTTTTCTGAATTCTCAAACAAATTGTATTTGCAGTCAAACGTTTCAACTGCATAATGTTTTGATGGTCATTATAGTCATAAATAGCTTAAGATATTGTTGCAGATTCTTTGCTGTTTGCAATACTGGTATACACAGCATGCCTCGAGTATGCTTTAAACTTATCTTGGCCACTTTTAATCTTTATTGCACTTTTGTTGAGTCAAAAGGATTCAACTATTCATGCCTAAAGCTTTTCAAAAGGCCCTAAGCTTCATTACAGAAAAACTATTCAACTTTTAATAAGTTCCAAGTGGTGGGGGTTTTTTGTTTGTTTTACCTGTCCTATTTAGGAGAAGATTTAAAGCTCTGGGTCAGAATACACAAAGGAAACTTGTTGTACAGCTTACACATACCTTTGACCTTTTACAACTGAAGCAGTAGCATCAGAAGTAGTTTTGAGAAGAATTGAGAAAAGAGTTTTTATTTAAAATAAATTACAAGTTTTAGAATTCAGGAGATACGCAGTAAGAAGCACCGTCCTTTTTCCATCCACAGAAGCATACACCAAGTACGGACTGATGCAGCAAGCATTTACAGATTTCTCCTTTAATTTGTAAGCAAGGACAGCATCTGACACACTTATCACTTACATTACAAAGTCAAACAGGGTTCAACAACAAATGCAAGCTTTTATTAACTATTTGTTTCCCAACACCATTAAGGGCTTGAAGACTATCCTAGCTACCAACTGGAGAGATACACCACCTCATAATTGAGCAATTCTTTGTTAGATGAGCCATCAGTAAGAACCACCAGCAAGGCTATCAGTTTAGTCTCCTCTTTCAGAGGACTTCTTAGAGAAACGCAGTTAATTAGGAGGATGTCTGGCCTCTCAAATGATCTCTTCTAGATTGAAGAGCTTCATACTGCTATAAACACTACAACACAGGAATAATGACTAAACAAATGTTAGTGTATTTTCCATTCCTAAACCTTGATCATGTTCCTTTACAGAATGCTTTTTTTAAAGGGAGTAAATTTCGTTTGTAGCATGTAGAATGGGTAATTATGCATTTGCTGTGGAAGGAAGAACAATTCAACATGTAATCAAGTCGCATAGTTCTAGCTCAAGCTCCTGATAAGATTTTTGGAGGCATGGTAGGAAAAAAAAGACACTAAACAGTATACATACTTTTGGATAATCCAGTTCAAAGAAGGTTTCCAAGTTGTTGATCAGGTTAGGATCCACACCTTTTAACGGCTTTAGGAGTGAAACACCAGGAAGCTTGCTATATGGCTGTTTGTCTGTGGCTTTCTTATTGAGGTGGAGGCGTCTGTAAACAGAAATAACATACACCAACAGATGAAGAAAATATGCTAGAGAATTCCATTCAAAATACAGTCAGAACTAAGAAATCTTGAGAGTTAAAACTGCTGCAAAAAATTAGTTTTGATAGTAGAAACAACGGCTATTTTTATCTGACAGCTGATGTGTCAAAGACAATGCCTAAAAAAAAAATCTTTGCATTGTATGTAGGTTAAATTCAGCCTTATTCAACTTATTAGATGTTTCAGATTAATGCATTTCGCACTATGTATTTTGAACAATAGGAGCCCCACTTTTTTCAAACTGCATAGGAGACAAGATGTTTCTGTCTTCCTCCATAGCATTAAAATTCATAGAATTATATCTGGACAATCAGAAAAACCAATTTACTGTAAACAAGGCAAAAAAAGAGAAGTGTCAGGTGCTTCTTCCAGCACTATGCTGTGTTATGCAAGACTTACAGCAAGCTGAAAGCACAGGGGAAGCAGTTGATCGTACCGATCAATTTGTTAACAAACACCTCCAAGAAAAAGATACAGGTCAATCAACTATAGCATAAAAATCCTAAACTGGAGACATTGGGCTGGGTCAGCACCATAGATAAACTGAGAATACAATTCCAAACAGTCACAAGTATTTCAGCAATGAATATAAAAAAGTAAATTGACAATCATGTCACAACTCACTAACCCAAATGTTTAATCGTACACTCCTTTGTGAATGAATGCAAAATTAAATTCTGAAAGCTTGATGGGCCAGTATTTGCATCAAGTAAGTTTATATAAGTAATTCAAGTAACTGGAGGAAAAAGTATTTGCTGAAACTTCAAACTTGCAAGTTAGTGTATATGCCTCATAATGTAGTTCTCTAGCATGCACAGCAGTCAGACTGAAAGGATATTTTATTGTAGCACATACCTAATAGTATAAATTCTTAAAGACTTTCACACTAAAGTTTACAAGATGCTGCCTCAAAAAAAAAAAAAAAAAAAGGAAATAGGGTTGCTTCATCCTAGTTAAATGGTAAAAAAAAAAGTCATCAAGTTCCTAGGAAGCATGGTCCTGAAAAGTGTGCCTGACCAAGTGAAATTACTGAACTAACAAAGGAACTACACTAAGAGGACATTCCAGTAGTTCTCTAGAGCTATTTCTTCCTGAAATGGGACAGTGACATCACATTTGTATCTCATCAGCCCTGCCCCTAGCACTCCTGTCAGGCAAGTTTGCAGCTGGACACCAGGAGCATAATGCTGTTACAGAAAATAAACAATGGGGTCACTAAAACAAAACAGGGGGACAAAGCAGATGTCCTCCTACTGTTATTGAGTCCAAGCCTGGGCACTGCAGAGGTAAACTGAAACAGTCTTGCTGAGCAATCAACAGCCAAGGGACTGTCAGACTGGACTTACAGACCAAGTAAGAAAAGCAATAGTTCAGATAGATACCACAGTGAAAGTTTCCTTACCAATTTTCGCAAACATAGCAGCAAACAAGGACTTTAGCGCCAATAAGAAGGGAGAGTCTCAAGAATGCAACTTTGACTGGGTGGAGCAAAAGGTAAGAACGCATGGGGAAAAAAAAAAAAAAGTACTCCATTTAAAACCAACTGTAGCAATGCTTTGTACAGAGCCAAAGCCTTGACAAACAGGAAGTAAGAGAAGGAAGTGGCAGAATAAATGAAAATAAGGTAAGGAGAGAAAGGATGAAGACAGACTTGAGGCAGGACTGTTATAAAGAATGAGCCCTAAGTGATAAAACTGCAGAATCTCGCAAGGCATCCTGTTACACACCATGCTGACACACAGGATTATGCAGGTAATTGAATTACCTAAGGAAAAGCCTGGTGTAAAAAAGGGAAACCTTGCAAAACATGCAAATGAGGCACGCAGCATTATCAGGATCTCTTCAGCCATGAAACATCATACAAATAGAGTATCACTTAGTATGGTAAGACTGTCTGTAACATGTGATCTTAAAAATAAGACTACAGTTCATGTTCTATTCATAAAGCTGCACAAAAGTGGCAGCCTGCCATCCTGAAAGCACTGTGGTATTGTGACACTAAGGTAAAGCAATTTCCATGCCAGTAATTGCAATCTCTGTTACAGTCTATGGAGCAAGAGGCAAATTAACAGTAAACCAGATCATTTTACATAGAGAAAGACTACTTGTAAAGTGACACATTCTGAAGAAGAATCAGAAAATTTACAATTGAAAACCTACCAGTGAAAGAGAATAACCATTATAAAAAGCAAATTATAGTATTCAAATGAAGGCTAACATTTAACATGGAAGTCAAATAATAGACTAAACTTAAACAACATTAACAATGTTGATGCAGGAATGTTCTAGATCAAGTTCAGTGTTACAGAGCATGCACTGAAGTCTCCAAAGCAGAGGTAAGATAAAGCAGTAAACTAGTGTTTTTTGAGCACTAACTTGTGCTTATGGTGGCATTTTTTTCTACCTCAGCCTAATGCAGTAAGCCACAGAAACACACTACACCAAGGAACATATAACAACTTCGAATTCTGAAACAGCGGCTAGCAGAGCACTCTTTAAAGGCATTTTCAGAAGCCATGTGTGAAAGACCAGATTATCTATAAGGACTTCTGCACCTAAATATATTTAATGGATCAGCCAGCAATTCTTAGGTAGCAAAACTGTGAAATTCCTTCTAAGCAGTCTAGTGCTGGTGTACGTAGGTGGGGAAAGAAAAAGCTGCAGGATGCATAATAGTGTCAGGAGCTATAGTTTAACTATCCTACATCATGTAAGAGGCATCTGTAAAATTTCTCAAACTTGGTTCCTTAACATGATATGAACCCATAGAAACAGCTATAATCTAGATCTCTTCTCTCAGCAGAGGTAAAAAGGTATTTCCAAAGACAAAATCCAGCTACTGAGTTATCACTGCCCAGTATACTACATGATGAATTCTTGCTAACCTGTATCAAATAAGCAACAAAAGTTCTTTTTTCTTAATGGTCAAGACTACACTTCCTCCTCTCGTTTCATGGAGGGCTTGAGAACATCCCAGCAAAAACAAAAAGCTTGCTACAGTACTCATGGGGGACTTCAATTTCCCTGATATCTGCTGGCAATATAACACAGCAGAGAGGCAACAGTCCTGGAGATTCTTGGAATGCGTGGAAGACAACTTCCTAACGCAGCTGGTGAGGGAACCGACCAGGGAAAGTGCCCTACTGGACCTGCTGATAGTTAACTCGGAAGGTCTTGTGGGGGATGTAAACGTTGGAGGCCGTCTTGGACAAAGTGATCATGAAATGATAAAATTTTCAATTCTCACTGAAGCAAGGCGGGGGGCCAGCAGGACTGCCACCCTGGACTTCCGAAGGGCAGACTTTGGCCTCTTCAGGAGCATGATTGGGGGTGTCCCTTGGGAGATGGTCCTCGAGGGCAAGGGTGCCCAGGAAAGCTGGTCATTCTTCAAGGAGGCACTCTTAAAGGCGCAAGATAAAGCTATTCCCAAGTCCCTAAAATCAAGCAGGAAGGGAAGAAGACCAGCCTGGCTAAATAGAGAGCTTCGGCTGGAACTCAGGAACAAAAAGAAGGCTTATAATCTTTGGAAAAAGGGCCTGGCAGATAAGGAGAAATACCATGAAGCGGTGAGGATATGCAGGGGGAAAATTAGAAGGGCCAAGGCTCAAGTGGAGCTCAGCTTGGCCACCAATATTAACAATAACAAAAAGGGGTTTTTTCAGTATGTTAACAGCAAGAGAAAGGTGAGGGATAATGTGGGCCCACTGATGGATGAGGTGGGCACCCTAGTAGTGGAAGACACGGAGAAAGCAGAGTTGCTGAATGCCTTCTTTTCTTCAGTCTTCACTGTTAGGACTACCCCTCATGAATCTGTGGCCTTAGAGGCAAGGGGGATGGTATGGAGAGAGGAAATTTTTCCTCTAGTAGAGGAGGGCCAGGTTCGGGACCACTTGGCCAAACTGGACATTCATAAGTCCATGGGGCCTGATGGGTTGCACCCACGAGTGCTGAGGGAGCTGGCAGACGTTATCGCTGGACCACTCTCGATCATCTTTGAGAAGTCGTGGAGAACAGGAGAGGTGCCTGAGGACTGGAGGAAGGCCAACATCACTCCAGTCTTCAAAAAGGGCAAGAAGGAGGACCCTGGGAACTACAGACCAGTTAGTCTCACCTCTGTCCCTGGGAAGGTGATGGAGAGACTCATACTAGATGTCATCTCCAAACAAGTTGAAGAGTGGGGGGTTATTGGAAGTGGGCAACACGGGTTTACCAAGGGTAAATCATGTATGACCAATCTGATAGCCTTCTATGATGCCATAACCGGTTGGTTGGATGAGGGGAGGGCAGCAGATGTCATCTACCTTGACTTCAGCAAGGCTTTTGACACTGTCTCCCATAACATCCTCATTGGGAAACTGAGGCAGTATGGGCTGGATGAGGGGACAGTGAGGTGGATTGAGAACTGGCTGTGTGACAGGACCCAAAGGGTAATTATTAATGGAGCAGGTTCAAGTTGGAAGCCTGTAACCAGTGGAGTCCCCCAGGGGTCAATACTTGGACCCGTGCTGTTTAATATATTCATCAGTGACCTGGACGAGGGGACAGAGTGTATCCTCAGCAAGTTTGCTGATGATACCAAACTGGGAGGAGTGGCTGACACCCCGGAGGGCTGTGCTGCCATCCAGCGAGACTTGGACAGGCTGGAGGGCTGGGCAAAGAAGAACCTCATGAGGTTCAACAGGGAAAAGTGTAGGGTCCTGCACCTGGGGAAGAAGAATGTCAGGCACCAATACAGGTTAGGGGTGGACCCGCTAGAGGCAACTACTGAAGAGAAAGATCTAGGGGTCCTGGTGGACAGTAAAATGGCAATGAGTAAACAGTGTGCTCTTGCGGCCAGGAAGGCCAATGGTATCTTGGGTTGTATAGGGAAGAGTGTAGCCAGCAGGTCAAGGGAAGTCATTCTCCCCCTCTACTCTGCACTGGTGAGGCCACAACTGGAGTACTG